TGGGGAAGGAAGTAGTCCTTCCCCACCTTCCACTTTCCTTACAAATAGCCCTTCCTCAAGCTGCTACGTACCTCAAGAGAAAAAACATGCATGTCTCAAGTTGGACCCCCCCACACACACACCTGCTTTTAAAAAGTACAAAGGAACAGAGACGCAATTATGCATCACTTGCCTTGCCTACTTTGGCCTGTGCCTTGCTACTTTTAGTCATTTAGGAAGTGGGCCTGATAAGCAAGAACTCTGGGTCACACAGGTGTGCTTGTTCTGTTCTTTGTGACAAATTTAATGGTAAAGAAATATTAAATTGGCTTTTTCTGTTGTGCTTTTATCCAATGCTATCAAATCACTTAAGAGTTCAATTTCACACAGTGGGATTATGGCAAGCTGTTTAAAAATTAAAAACAAAACCACCCCCTCCTCTCAGCAACTAGGCTTTGCTCAAAGCACATTTCCAATGGCCTTTCAGCCATCCAGCTGCTCAGTCCTGTGAGAAAGACTGAGCAACACTCATAATCCAGGTCCAAGAGCCCTCCATGAACAAGCTGCATTTCAGGAAAGTTGTGTGTGGGTTAGGTTTAAGTTTTTTGGCATGCATCCCCCACAGGTGACTCTCCTGCAAAAGCCATCCTGTAGACTCAATGTTGTGCTGTGTTCTGTTCTACCACGAGTGGTCTTAATATAATCAAAGCATAACTCACTTTCAAAGGCTTTGCTTATTGCCAAAAATTCTCTAGCAACAATGTTCCTTGGCATGTGAGAACACTAATTTCAGAATGTAATAAAAGAAATTAATAAGAATGCATGGTTGGAACTTTAAGATCTATGGACAATTTGTTTTTTCTACTATGCAATGGCAAAGCAAACCACTAAAAACAATAGTTCTTTTGCTAGAGAGGAGGGAGATGAAACACAGGGCCAAAAGAATGACTTTTTTTAATCCACTGAGATAAGGCAAAAGGAAATAAAAATAACTAGCATGTAGTCCAAAAAAGCAAGGTTCTGACACAACCGACCTGTAAATTTAATTGAATAAGTATATAAAAATAAATAAATCTATACATAAGTCTAATTAAACCATTATAATGTAAGGTGCCACAAGACACTGTTTCATGGTAAGAGAGTAAATAAAACTAAGCCCCAGCCTGCATCCTGCTGATTCTGAGGAAAGGTGGAAGATGAAGTCCAACAAGACCAGTGCTATTCCTTGTACAAGAAAGATTATTTATTAAAAGCATTATATACTGTTCTTAGCAAAAAGCCCAAGTAAATCCATTGAGCTCAGTGGAATGTATTAAGTACATTTCTACCCTACCTATCAGCCCAAAGACTGCCATGCACCATGACTACCTGTTCTAGAATAGCTACATCCAGAATAAGGTATTGTAAAGAGTCAAAATCAGCTAGAAATCTCTTCCTACACCTTTTTTATTTTGCAACCTAGAAGTAGTTTCAAATTTCTGGGTGCCTCCATGTCTGAAAGATATTGACAAACAAGAAGAATTTTAGGAACAGAAACAGCAGCTATCAATGAGCTGTCAGCTGAAGGAGTAATTACAGGGCCTAGAAATACACTGATCTTTAGAAAAAGATCTAAGTTCTGATAAGTGTCCCTATTCAAAAAGGGAGTGATTTAAAGGAAATTTCTATAGCAAACTTCCCCAACCAGGTGCTCTCTTGTATACTTGGGTGGCAATCTAGCTCATCTGGAAGATGCCAGGTTGAAGACAGCTGCTGCATAGGTGTGACACAGGAATTTAATTTCTTCTGACTAATTAAATACAATTTTTTCTATGGAAAAATAAATTTCTGGAAAACTTTCCATTTTGAAACCACATTCCACCCCACATCACTAAGGTACACACACCCACCTTTGCATGACCTGATCTTTTGAACTGTTCGTTTCACAAACAAAAGAGCATCCACCCTTTCAGGGATCATTCATGCTAGAGACAGGAGTTAAGGCGCATGGGCAGCCCACGAAAGTTTCTTCCAGGAATCTCACGGTACATTTGCACTGGCAGCTTATTGCTGTGTGTGTCTCCAACACCAGAGAGAGCACACCTGACCGGAGGTACCTCAGTGATAACTTCCTGGACAACAAAGAGAATTCAAAGTCAAGGAAAAAAGCTCCCTGTTCTAAAAATGTAATACAGAGATAGCATGAAGGGCATGACAAAGGACATTAAGGCCACAGCCCTAAGCACTCTTACTAGAAGTCAATCCTATTGAGATCAAAGTAAACATCATTAGAAGCAGTTAAGAATGCCCTAAACCCCACATCAGCTGAAAGGGCAGTAAACACAGCAATCAGTGACCGGTGTGTTTGTCAAGCTGGGCCCCCTCAGCTGTAATGAAAGGACAGCCACCAAAGCCACTGCTTCCTGGCGGACCATTTGTCTCCTGGAGGTTCGGTCACCTGACTGACTCATGCCCCTGCAGGACAGCTGGGACAACAACAGCTGCCTGGGGCTAAACTCACTTCCGTCAGCAAGTTTGTTTGCTGGGGGTGGTGATGGCTGCAGGCATCTTTCCCCTTCCCACACCACATACCGTCACCATTTGGGGAAAGCCCGTTGGCAACTTCTAACCTGCTAATCCATCAAGACAGGCAGGAAATGACAGCCCCGTTGAACCCCTTATATCCCTCGGCAATGCTCCTACATCCCTTTACACTTTTCCATGTCTCGAGTGCATCCATTGGCATGGGAGTAAACTCATTCACTACTTTTCCCACCAGTCCAGTACACCATCACACGGGTACGCCATGAGTGCCCTTCGTGCCTTCAAAGGACCAAATGAAACAAAATCTTCACCTCACATCTTTAAGAGGAAGAAGCTCAACAATCCATTCTCCTTGAGACTTTCTCATGTCCTCATCCCAAGGATTCAGGAGCAAATCTGTCCACTTGACCCAGAAAACATACTGGTTTCTTCATTTACCTTCCCATTTCATATTTCTTTTGCCTCCTCCCCACAAGTCTCCTCCAGGTCATTAAATTGATATTTTAAAGGACAGGCAAAGGCTCCCATATTAATACGGGACAGCAGATAAGAATTTCTCCCTTTTCCCCTTCAGTTCCACTCTTGTATTCTAATACACAGAACCCCAAGAATGAAAGGACACCCTATGCAGGGCACTTCATGCCCTTCATATGTTTGAGATCACCACTCCCATAAGTCGCCTCCAGCATCACAAGTTAGCTAGCCTAGCAGAACCCTTAAGGCTGGTGGCTGGGTGAAAATTCAGGTTGGAAAAGTCTGGAACCAAATTCCCCTTGTCTGTGTGACTCTGGCTAGATTAATCCTCCATTCTCAGGCTAACCTTCCTCAGAGGATTGCTTTGAAAACTGAGAACAAACAAAACCCTCCAAATGAGAAAGAAGCATACTCACAAACAGTACACAGTTGTTACCCTTTTTGCAAACACACATACCACAGGCACACACACACACTGAGAAGATCACCTACTTTCCTTTCCTGGCACATTTAAAACACTATAGGAGAACACATGGTGTTTCTCATGCTGCCCCCTCCCTCCTCCCTTCAATCTTTCCCATTGTTGGATTCTCTAAGAACACATAGGGCTGAAATTTCCCTTTTTGCCAGGTTTACTAAGAATAGTCTTCCATGGCCTACTTTTTTGTTTTACTAGAATACTCTCATACCATGAATGTGTTTAAGTTTAGAAAGCAAGAGTACACCATCAAAATCGCCTATAAATAACAGGACCTGTGCAGTTCCATCCACTCCACAGTCTCCTTTCACAACTACAAGAGCCTTGCCAGGATCAGACCAAGGATCTTAGGTATTAAGTTGTTTAAATTCAGTTTTTAAATCTAGTTTTTAAACTGTAGTGACATGCTAAGTTTGTGGTGTTTTTACTGTATTTCATGAGTTCAAAGCCACCAGAAAACACATAATCCAAGCCTCTTTCACAAGGAATTACAGTAATCAGCAGAAGTGAAATCTTTAAAATAAGCATCAGAAAACTGTCCAATGCTCCATCTTCTACGTAGGACCCAAGAGCCCTTAAGGCTGCATTCCTATACACATTCACTTGGGAATTCAATGGGGCATACTTCTGAGTAGAACATATATAGAGTCACAGTGTTAACACTCTCTCATGCCCTTCCTGGGTGATGGACCTGATGGCCCTCTGCCCCCTTCCAACTCTACTCTTCTGATTCCTTTTGTCTCCTTCTGTGTGTGTGCACAAAAGAGGAAGTGCCCCCCCATATTCCTTCTATTTTCTTTCCTCCCTCCCCCCAGTACACACTTTTCAGGCCTGGGAATTAGGACCTCCCCAAAACGCGTGATTGTGTGAAAAGTCCTCTGGTTTTCCTTTTCTGCTAGGATGGGGCACTGAGGAAAAGATGGCACTCCCCAATTCCTTTTTTTAGCCTCCCCAGTAACTCCTTTGAAGCCCGGGGGAGGGGGTCCAAAAGCACTGCCCCAAGAGCCTCACCGTGGAGACACTCTCTTGCCTTTCCTCTTCTGCTGAGAGGGGAAAGTTTGGAAGAGCCCCATATTTTCCTTCTAACCCCACCAAAGCCGGACCAGGAAAAAAGCACACCCCAAAAACAAGAGAGAACCTCAGTGCATGGACACTCCCTTGCTTTTTCTACCGGGTGGGGGGAAGGGGAACAGGCACCCAAGGGGAAGCATTCCCATACCGCCCCAGGTAAACTTCCTTTGCCACTCGGGGGAAGGAAGAAAGCCCCTCCCCCCAAAAGTCTCAACATGTGAAGGCTTCCCTGCTTTTCTTTTGCTGCTGCCGGACAGTCATTTTACTTCCCCCCCGCCCATAAATTATTTTGAGGTGGAGGTACAGAAAGAGCTTCCCGTCTTTCCCTCCCTGGTGGATGCATGGGGGAAAGGGGGCAGAGGGCGTCCCTACTTCTGTCCCGGTGGGGGGGGGGGCTGGGGGAGAGCCTGCCTCCCCTCCCCTCCCTCCGCGGAGGGCGAGGAAAACTCGGGGGCCCGCGCACGCGCGCTCTCACCTGGCTCGGCCGCGGGGGTGGGCGCTGTGGGAGGGGGTCTCGGGCAGCCGCCGCCGCTTCGCTCCGCGCTCCTCGGAGTCGTCGCTAAACTTTTTTTTACCTTGCCCTGCCTTTCTTCCGTCCTCTTTCCTTTCCTCCCTTCGCAGCCCCGCCCCGTCCGAAAGAAGCGACGCGAGCGGGCGCCGATTGGCGGACACCAAGCGGGAGGGCGGAATCAGGAGAGAGAAAACAGAAGACGGCGGCGCTATGGCCTCCGCTGGGCTTTCTTTAGTGGGTCTAAGCTAGCCCCTGGCGCAGAGGATTGGGGACGGCGAGCGACGTGAACCAAAAACAAAAAGAGGAGGAGGAGGAGGAGGAGGATTATTTTAAAGGGACAGTTGCAGCTCGGGCGGGACGTATTCTTCGACACACATACACACATGCTGAATATGGAAGAGATAAACAGGATACAGAAGTGGAAATAAAGTAGCACTAATCCGAATTAATGAACCTTTGGCACAGATGATTCAGCACCGGCCATTTCCCTTGTAGTATCTGTGACCAACAGATGAAAGGTATGTTATAATAAGAAAACAGTTCTAATTGTGTTCAGAACCATGCCTCCCATAAGGCTTAACAAGAACCCTGCTAGGTAGGGCAGTAGGGCTTAGATATTTATCGTAGATGGGAGAGCCTGGAGGAAGAAGGGCTCGCGTGCATTATCTCCTCAAGCCTTAGGCCCCGATGAAGTAGCGTCACAGCCTTTACACACATTTGGTAGAAGCGGGGGAGGTGCAGAAAAAGAATGGCTCGGATGTTTTGCCTCCATAAGCCGTAGCAATAGCCCTTTTGGGTAGGGCCGGAGGGTTTAGATGGGGGACTAGGTGAAGAATAGCTTGTTCTATTCAGCACATTACCTGTTTATACCTGTTTGCTTTTATATTGTTCTGTGTAAGATTGCAACCTTTCTGTACTCCTGTACAACTACTTATTATTTATTTCATCTGTATATCACCCAATAGGTGAAGCACTGGGCAGTTTGCAGTAGCTGTTATTACCGTTGCTTTCCATTCTGAAACATTATTAGTATTTTTTTATTTAAAACTTTTGTATGCCGTCACCACATGCCTTGGCATCTCGGGAAGGCTCACAATACATACAATTAAAAAGAGTAAAATGATCTTTATAAATAACCACTTCAGTAGAAGATTACATAAGGACAAAAAACCGAGAACAAAAAGAGTGACTGTTCAGTGCTAAAATATTAGTTTTTAAAATAGCAATTAAATAAAAAGGTTTACATGGTATTGGACCATTTCAACATCCAGTGGCAGTAAGTTCCATAGGTAAATTAGGGTTTAGTGTGTGGGGAGACTCTTCTCACTAAACCAATGTTGTTCAGTCTGATATTGCTTTTATATCTCCTAGTTCCAGGGCCCACTCCTACAGCACGTGAAATATAGAAGTGCCCCCCTTGCCCAGTTAGAAACTATGGGACCACCCATTTTCCCTGGTAGACTCTCTTTGCTATCTGCCATATGACAAACAGGCAACTATTTAACAACTGAGACTTTCAATATCCACAAGGGAGAAAATACTTTTAGCCCTGATGAGGAGCTGTGAAAGTACAGAATCTTGGTCAGGTGGAAAGGGGAGAACAGAGGGGTTGCCGATCCTGGTCTGCATGACCGGACTTCAGGACAGGACTGACAGAATGGCATTCCAAGGGGGGATGAACTCAGCCATTTTATCTCCCTTTTCAGAAAGGAAGGGGGTAAATAGGATGTTGCAGCAAAACGAAAAGCAAGTCCTGTGCTATCTTAAAGATTACCACTTTTATGAGCTACATTCCACTTCAACGGGGGTCTGAAATGTTATCCTGAGTTAACCTAAGTGGAAACAAGGGAGAAGATATCATAAGCAGTGAGGTCAGAAGGAAATGAAATGCAGAAATTCAAGGCAATGATGCTCATACCATCAGCAGCCATTCACAGAGCAGCCATTGCTGATAATGCTCTTACCACTCCAACCATATGCCTTACATGCCTGTAATTCAGGATAACACTTTATACCCCTCATCTCATGAAAGGGACCATAGCCCATAAAAAAACTATCTCATAATAAAACATGGTAGTCTTTAAAGTGCCACAGTACCCTTGGCCATTTTAAAAACTAAGTCTCGGAAGTCAGGGTTACTTCCAGGCGCATGATTAAAGAAATATCAATTGTTTATCACATTTATTTATTTATTTATTTATTTATTTAAAACATTTGTATGTCATCCTTCACTATCGTGTCTCAGGACAGCTTACAGGATTAAACGCAAAAACCAGGAGAATAATCAATAATGCAATACAATACAATTATCAAAACCAGTCCAAATAAATGCACATGTTTAATTGACTCATTAACTGACTGATTTAAATGACACTCCTTAGCATAGAAGACAGACTTCTGGAAGACAGAAAAACAAGCAAGCCACATTGAACTCAGTAGGACTTAGTTTTAAGTAGACTTGTATATGATTGCTTTGTAATTGTTTAGCCTCACAATCCTATGCAAGCTAGCAGGCGCACTGGACTTAAAACAAAGAATGTGAACATGTGTGTGAGAGGGAAGTTTTAGGGTCCAGGGCCTCTTTTTTGCTGTGTCTTTGAGGAAGTGTCCCAGGGTGGCTGATCAGGAAAACATTCCAGTTACATCTGCTACATCAAGTAAATCCTTATATGCATATAGGATTACAGCATCAACAATGCAGCCCTAATTAGAGGTGATGCATTTTAAAGGCCTACCTAGTCATCAATGCAAAAAATAGACCATAATGATGATCTACTAATGACTTCCTGGATGAGCTGAATGCTCATGGCAACAAGCATGATCAGGCAGCAGTTTGCCATTCAGTTCTTTTCCAAAGTCAAAGAGCAATGCTGTGCAAACCATTCTGCATATTACTTTTGACCTGGCTTCTCTTTTCAACCACTGCCTGAATGAAACCGTGAGCTGCAATGCTCAGGTAGCAGGTAGCTCCCTCTGCCTTTCCAGTCAATGGTGTTGTGCAACTCATGCCGCCTTTCCAGCCAATGGCACGGGAAGGATTTGGCAACCGTCTTTGCAATATGGACATTTCAGCAAAGATCTCCTGCCAGCTGATTCTGAATGAGGAACAGTCTTCAGATAAATGTTCTGATGCTCCAGTGGCTGTGAGGACTGATTTCAAGCTGGAGGAGGGAGCATGGCAAAGGGCCCTCAGCTTGGCTCCCCTCGTGGAACTTGGGTTCAGGCACCAGCATAAAGTGGCCAGGTTTTTCAAGGCTCAAAAGACTGGTTCTTCTGTTTGTTTTTTTCAAGGGCTTTTCCAGCCCAAGGACCACATGCCATTTCGAAGCTCTTGGGAATTGCATTTCAGCTGTGGGTTTGAGCCCCACATTCCAAAACTACAAGCCTATTTCAGCTCAGTGTTCTCAGTAGAGGAACTAAGCTTTAGGAGAGGCTTGTCAACCTATAAGAGAGAAGGGGAAACTGCACAGAAGCTGGAAAAGCAGCAAGCAATTGGTGGTCAGAGGAAGGGGCTCTAGCCATCTGGAAGTCCTCAGAGGGCTGGGTTTGGTCTCCTGAACTGAGGCCCTGCACCCTCACTGTCTGAAGGTATGTCCAGTCCAAGTCTGGTTCAAAAAGCATTCTAAAATAATGGGGAAGGAACCTTGAACTTGCCTACCATCAGCAGTGAGACAGTGGATCAAGCAGCCCAAAAGCCACCTGCTCACAGCTGGTGACAAACTGTATATTGCTGTATAAATGATTATGATAATTTCAAAATGTGCGTTTAGATCTACAGATTGGCATGTGCAAACTTAATGCCTGCTTTTGGTGTTGCATGAGGGGCCACCCTACTGAGCTGGGCCCCTCCATGAAGTGGGTGCAGTTCCAGCCTCAAATGATAGATTCCCAAAGGCTGGTGGATCCTGCCCCCATTCCAGAAAGCCCTGCTGGCTACCACAGCAAGAATGGCTAGCACAACTCTCAGGGGCGCTACTTGCCCAATGCCTCCCTTTGAGAATCCCTCGAAGAGCTCGGCATCAGGCAGGGAAGCTCCTGGGAAATTTCTGCTGCCTCTAAGGAGAAGCTGCAGAGTGTGGCCCTGAGGCTGCGCAGAGAGGCCCTGGTGCCGAGGCCACATCCCTGCCAGGCCGTTCTGAGAAAGGCCCCCTTGTGGGGAGACGTCAAAGGAGGGGCCTGTAACGTGGCTTTGTAGAGGACGGAGGCAGTGCTGCCCACGTGGCCGGGGGAGGCAGACAAGCAGCTCCTCTGGGAGTGGGAGGAAAAGGCCCAGAGGGCACTGCCCATGTTGCCAGGAAGGGGGAAAGAGGAGGGGGCTCACAGCTCGGAGGGGGAAGAAAAGAGAAGGTGGCAGTGGGAGGATGGGAAGATGGAAAGGGAGGGGCATCAGGTGTGGGGAGGCAGGAGAGAAGAGTGGAGTGGGTGTGCGCTGCGGCTGCCGTCACAGCCAGCGAGTGGAGAAGGGGCTGCAGCCTCCTGCCTCAGGTGGTGGGGAACCCTGGGCTGGCCCAGCGGCAGGGAGAGGAAGAGGCCGTCTGCCGGCAGTCTGGGTCAACTGTGCTATGCTAGAGCGACACACTACCTGACCTGTGATAAGGGTACAGCTTCCACACCCATCTCTCCTCATTGTGGGCTGGTGCAGTCATACCCCATAAGCTCTGCAGGGCTATGTTTTATCCCACCTTTCTTGCAAGGAACCAAGTGGCTTTCAAGGTACTTCACCCCTATTTTATCCTCACCACAACCTCCCTGTGAGGCAAGTTAGGCCGAGAGTCTGTGACTGGCCCAAAATCGCTCCATGGCTAAGAGGAGACCAGATTCCTATAGGATCACCTTTGGAGCAACCATGATTATGAAAGCTATTGCTCCTTTTAGATCAGCACAATCTGGTGTTTGGTTGCATTTGTTTTTAAAATAGTAGCTCTGTAGATTTTCATATAACCCTGGATTTTCTGCTCTTTTTGCTGTGGGCTGCCATTGCGCAAGCTCTGGGCAGTTATCAAAAGCAAGGATAATTGTGTCTTATTAAAAGAAGTACAGTGCATTAAAAATGTGCAGCTGGATATTTTTAGTTTAATCCTAAATACC